GGGGGTGGACCAGTGCGCAGACCAAGAGGCGGGAGAACCAGACATCGCCAGTTAACGTTTAAGGTGTCAGTACTAAGGAATCCGACACTGACACACTACCGATCTCATAGGGGTAATCAATATTTATTTTAATATTAATTATTTGGAGTGATGGGTTTGAAAAAAGAGAATTACATCATGGTGTCAGTTGTTTACAAATTGTAGAATTTGGCATTAGATTTTTAGCACCTTTGCAATCTTTATTTCCTTGCACCAATAAGTTGATGTTGAGACACTACAATGTGACAATTTACCCTTTTCCGTTTTTAGGGAAAGTTCTAAATGGCATTGCCAGCTAATTTGGTTTAAATTTGATTACAGATGCCACTCCTGCTACTCGGGTGGTCGTTCCTGTAAACCTAAATGCCACTGAATTCAGGCAGGCACTACGGGACAATATTGCAGACATACCTTTGCAGTTTGATCTATGCAAAGTGAATGGACAGCGGCTCATTCTTCCTCTTGAAGAGGAGACGCCCCAAGAAATTAGAGCAAGAAACCTACTGGGTCGCTCCAATCTTTATATCCGTCCAAAGGTATTCAAATGTTCCACTCGGGTGGCTGATATGGCATAATTGTCACTATTACTGTAACCCTAGTATTGTATAAGACATCTTTAACACGTTACTGCTCAGAATAATAAATGCTGTGATTTTACCCAAAGGATTTGAGACATTCATCTGATCACTATGCCAGATGGCTATGCTTAAACAATGCCCCGTCAGTTGATTCACTGTTAATAACAGAAATGCAGTAGAGCAAGCTTGAACTGTGGTCTAACAGTTTTTTAGGGTTAGGGTCATTTTGTTCTTGTAATCCCAGTTTCCTGGGTTTTGGCTTTTTCATTGTCTTTTATTAATGTCCTTAACCTTTCATTTATTTATTTACTTACTTACTTATTTATTTATTTATTTTCCCCTCAGTTATCCTAAGTTCTACCTACCCAAAGACTGATCTTCTGTCGTTATGCTTTCATTCATTTTAGGTGTGGCTGTTTTGGTTCTTGTCTTTGACTTGTCCTCTGTTCTTGTTTGTCATTTGTTGTTCCATTTCTTTTATATTTTAATACTCTGGTGTTTTAGATTACAGAAGCCAATGAGGACTCAACTGGTGGAGAAGTTGTGCAGTCTGAAATGGCAATGTA